CAGATGGGAATACATTGCAATCAGTTGAAAGCTATTTGCGTCCCTTTATGAAGCTGAAGGAGCCTAGGAGCGTCACAACTGCACGCCACGGGACCCTGACCAAGCGTCGCTCCTTGACGATTATGGAGTGAGAGTGTGTTGCTCTAGCAGGGACGGAAAAGGGGGTAAAAAGGTTCTCATGAACTAATTTTAGTTTCGGCTCTTTTTGGTGTGAACGCGACATTTCGGAACTATATCGGAACTAAAGTGGGAAAAGTACTCCGATGTGAACGCGGCTACTGCTAACAATGTTCTGGGTTAAGGACTCGTTCCTGCACCACCCTATTACGCCCCCCCCCCACAGATAAGAGAGTTGGGTGCCATCAGGAGAAGCTGAAGCCAGAGAAGGGGGGGCTGAGCGGTGTTACTCAGTAGCATCTTCTCCTTGGTTTACCCTCACCATGCTCACTGAGTGTGCATCAGAGGCAGTACGGGGGTGTGAAGTGCTCCCGAGAGTGTGTGGGTTCACTGCTGCTGCACTCTATGATTAAACAGTAGTATGTGCTGACAGCTGGATTTGAGGAGCATGATGCACGCGGCACAGTGGAGCGAGAAGCTGCCTCTCGTGGTGTCGAGGAATTTCCTTTTTGGTGTCTTTCGACCTAAATGCAGATCACAAGGGCTGAATCAAATAAATGACAAGAATACTTTTTGTGGTCATTGATTAAATCATCAAAAATGTGCTACAGAAGGAGGGGGGAAAAAATCCCTAAGAGATCAGTGATTAATTTCTTCAATAATAATAGCCTCAATAGATCACAAAGTATTGAAGCAACAGGTTGCGTTTTTGTGGATCTGTCAACAGTTATAACTGTAACGCCCTCTTTTGCTGCTTCGATTTAGTTCTTTTCCTGACTGTAAATAAAACGTGTACTCGTCACCTTTTCACAGCACAGAGGACCTTTGTGACCGGAGGTTGTAAATGGGCTTCTGGGACATGAAGGAAATCACTAAGTGAAGACAATGTACAGATATACTACAAGAATAGTACTTATTAGATGCTAGAATACATCTGCTACTATTAGTTATTGACTAGGAAGTGTACTAAATACCAGTATTCATTTTTTTACAACATTTCTGTGAGTCAGTATCTTGTCCTGCAGCGAAGGCCAAGATTGTTAGACGCAAGCCAATTGAAATGGGGTGAAACAACATCTGCAGTGTACATGCCATACAAAGGTCAATTCCAAATATGGACGCACACTTTCTCTTTTAGTTGTTTCTACACATACAGCTTGTCAGCTCATCTGCCATCAGCTGTTCTTACGTCTTGTCTGTAGGGCCGTTAGACAGATGCTAAAGTAAACGCAGCCTAATTTTGCATTCATGCTTGTCATCACTTAATCCTCCTGCAACTGCCATCTTGGAGATGCCACATGCATTGCTAACTGACATTAACCTCTCATCTAAAGACGCTGATTCATAGTGTACTTAGACAGCCTGAGAAGTGAACAACACGCTGAACTAATCACTGTATCTGACTGGCGCAGTGGGGCCAGCCTGTTAATTAGTAAAGAGTGTTAACTACTGTTACCTTTCCAAGTTAATGAAGCATTTGCTAACCTGTATCCTTTAGAGTTCCTGTAATCCGAGGTTTACGACGAGGCCCGAGATCTAGTGTGAATCATTTTAAGTGAAGTATCCAGATGTGCACATGTCCAGATGTGGTCACTTGCAGCCAGGTACAATTTACTACTAGCTGTGAACCTCTATGATTACTGATGAAAATAATTGTCTTTCTAGCTTATTGATAATGGAAATGCTGACACCGTTTTTCTACCATTGAGGATGAGTCTTTACCTCACTTCTGCTAATCAAAACATACTTTAGTCATTAACACAAAATGCTTTTAGCTTCATTTCATTTCATTTTCATGTTAACACAGAAGAACTGAGATTAAAGATGGAGGACCAAGTCATCATCAAAGTGAGTTCAAACTGGAAAAGCTTCTTGGCTAAATCAGCCTTTCCAATCAGTTACAAAAACACTGTTCAGGTCTGTAAACACACTGTGCTACCTTTTGTATCCCTTTTGTACTTTTACCCTAGTAAATATCCAATAAATTATCTTACAGGGAGTCTATGGGAACTAAGTATAGGACATGTGGCACAATGACCTGGTTTTTCGTCTATAAAGTTTACAGAAGCATTTTTATACCTAGAGAATTGGACGGCGTTTTTCTCTGAGTCTTCTCTTTGCTTTTGCTTCTCACTTAGCAGCCAAGTGTTCTGTTTGTTTGAGATTGCAGCAGCTCCCCCTGACTATACCCTACCACTTTACTCCTCAACCTCCATCACCTGTTGGAGCATGTTCGGTCACTTCCCACATCTTAGTGTTTGCACAGGCTGATCGAGCAGGTTTGGTTTCCTTGTGTAATCCGATTACCTGTTGAAAGATTTGATGCGCCTCATGTTCACTGCAGGCCTGCTAATAGCAAGGAGACTGATGTGTCCAAAGCCGTCCTGTATTTACCTTCTCAGTGCAGTATCATTAACAACCACAGTCGAGTCTACTGATCCGTGAACGAGTGGATGTAGTTTGACTCTCGCCTGCCGGTAGCTTGGTTCAGTAGTTCTTCCCATACGTACATTAAGATGCAACTGTAGACAAAGTACTTTTTTTCTGTGGTATTTTACTTGATAATTACTTCCCTGGAAAAACCCCAGAAGACACACACTCTTTTTATAGACAATATGTTTAATTGAGCAAATTAGAAAGGGTCCGTATTGTACAGCAGCTGTGTACACACACAGTGGAATCTGCACGGCACCAGGAAAGGGATGCAGTGAGAATAGTGAGTTAAAAAAGAAACTTGATGGAGTCAGAAAGCCTGCATGCCAAAGCAGTGGCTTTTCTACACAGATGCTCATAGTTAGCATGTGTGTGAAACCTCAGAGTCGCTCGCTGATCAACCCGCTGCATTGATACTCCAGCTGCTGGCACTGCGCTGATGTTACTGGGTTTGCATGGGTGATATGGTTGGTGGCTTCAGAACGAGCACTGCATTTTTTTCACTCAATTGTATAACTGGATGCAATCTCTCATTTAGTATCTCTCGTATTTCAGAAATACTGTATCATGTGGTCATGATGGAAACAAAACATCCCATAAAGTAGTCCTCAAATCTGAGAAATACAAGCATTCAACTTTAATGTCCATAGTTATTAATGACATATCCTGACTTCTTCCTTGCAGGTCTGGTGGAGATCTGCTTGATGCATCCACTCGATGTAGTGAAGACAAGGTAAGCCACCCTCAAACTGAACAACTCACATTTCGTGTAATTTTACCGAACGTATAATCTGCTTACAAGAGAGACATTTTTAGTCCACATCTGCCTTGAATTCTCTCAGTGGGTATTTGGGTCTGCATAGTGAAGTTCCAAGCATACCACCTTATTTTTTTCCCCCAAGCTGGCCAGCTGTACTCTCATTCTCCCAACAATTGGGCACCAACGCCAAGAAACATTTTGTGGAAAATGAGATGCATCATTTACCCATTCGTTCCCCACAAAATGTTAACGTTAGATGTTTGCAAATCACTCACATTTACACATATACACCTTATTACTTCATTTAAAAATAGCAATATTTTTGTTACGATCTGATGTTCTTGTGAAAGTGCATGACTTTCAGGTTAAATCAGATGCACTCGGTGAGTCTAATGGATTGATTTCAGCTTCCGTCTCCTGTTTGTGCGTTATGCAAGAGTGGCAGCAGTGTGGAGCTGTTGAGTGATCAGGAGCCTCACACCACAGTGTCTCAGCCGGCCATAAACAGGTCGTGGGCTTCTACTAAAGCTTTATAGTCTTTCACAGGCCCAGCCAAGACCTCTGGCTTCGTTCTTAGCCCCCCTCCCCAGCCCTATTCACTACTTGTCAGTAAATTGTGCTGCTTTTTCTGTCATTTACGGCAGCAGTTTCTTGGTAAATAAATTGCTTGGCCTGCCTTTTAAAAAAGTGAGACGCTTGCACTTTGAAGGCAGTGCCACCCCCAGAACAGAGAGAAGGAAATGCAGGGATAAAAGCCCGGCCTGAGCGGTGTTGTATTAGTCGATATCTGATACTTTGAAGGCACACAGTGTGATTTATGGTCACGTGTAGCAGCTATGGGGGTTTATTACAGGTAAGGCTGCCGCTCTGCCTGTCCGTCCTCACACGGGGTCAGGGTTAAAAGTGCACCCTCTATTTTCTTTGTAATGCTCTTCCTTAAAAAGCGGTAAAGGCCGCTCTTAAACTGGACAGGTTTATCTGTTTGTTTTCTGTTTGTGTCGCCATGTGTTTATGTTGATGGGTTTTCTGTTGCTCAGAATGGGTCTACGTAAATTAAATCCTTTTGCTCTTGGCTCTGGCTTTTGTTACTTTCTTCTTTTAACAAAATGAACAAACGGAATAGTCTTTCTTCTTTTTAATTGGGAGCTTTAGAGGATGTCAAGAGTGTCTAAACAAAAGGAGGTTGCTGAATCCCAGACATACACAGAGACAAACCACACCAGTGTAGATATGCATGCTTACACTGTACATGCATGTTCACACGCTTAACATCCACACATGAATTCATAAACCAAGCATACATACCAGCTAATTGGAACACTGAGGGAGCTGAATGCTATTAGCAGGAACCTTGGAGCCGAGAGTCAGACGCAGACACACCTCCACTGGCTCTCTCTCGCTCAGGCATGGCTCTTATTAGGCACCGGCTCCTGCTTTAATGTCCACCGGTCCAAATTGAATGGCAACTGGAGTAAATTTACTTTTTTCCACCAACTCAGAATCAAAGGGATTTTTTTCCCCCCTTTCTTTTCTCACTTCTTTTTCCTTTTTTTTTTTGCAAGGTAAACTTCACTAAATGTGTACCTGCCTGCAGCTCATGTTTACCTATTTTCCAAAGAAAGGCTTTATCTTCCTCTGAAGGGGAGGGAGGAGGAGGCGGGGGGGGGGGTAGAAAGTTGCAGTTTAGAGATATTCCACCAGTAGCCAAGTTATGAATAACAAAATGTCAGGAGCATTTGGCAGCTTTTCCCTTTAAACAAATAGTGATTCAACTTCCAAGTGACTGCATTGGCAGATATTAATAGCTGGGTTCCACAGAATTTAACTTGCAACATGATTAATAAAACAAAACCTGGGCCAAAGACTGATGGGCAAATTGCTTTTGGGTAACGATCACAAGTATTTGACTAGACCACACTGGGCCTTGGGTTGGATATGAGACTTAAAAGTCTTGTCAGATTAATCATTTTTGGCCTTTGTTGTTGCACTTTTACTCCCCGTTGTGTGCTCACTGACCAGTGGAGCCGTGACCCTTGTTATTCACCTTTGCTAACAAGTACATCTATCTTACATCTGAGGGACTCCTGGAGAGCCCACCTTCCTTCAGCGTGCCAGTCTACTTCTTTCATCCTGTTAAAAGAGTGGAACAAGTACAAATTTAAATTGACCATTTTTAAATAAGTGTAATGGTGTAATTTCTCGCTTAAGACTTTTTTTCACTGGATAAATCACTATTAATAGGATCAGTTGTAATGTGAATAGATTATTCACTTTTTTATCAGAGTACCGTAGCACTAGTAGGACTACAACTAATGATTATTTTCTTTTATGAATGAATTGTTTGCGAGTTACATTTTCAGGAAATGGTCAAATATGCCCATCTTAAGGGCTTTTTTTGTCAAAATCCAAAACCCAAAGATATTCCATGTTACAATGATATAAAACAAAAAGGAGAATTTTATATTTTATATATGATGTATTTTCTTCAGTTTTTGAGCAAACAGACCAAAGTGAGATCCAGGACAAGCACGTAGCGTAGGATGAAGGCAAAATAGCGAAGTAGTTTGGGGTATAAACATGGTATGTGGGAGAGTTGTGCGCCATCATTAGTTTTTATGTACTATTTAAAGTTTAGGACAACAGATTTAACAGCAGATGTAACTTTAAAGCAACTGTTCCGTGTCACGTTCTCTGTCGTTAATCCAGGAAATTAAAGTTAATCCACAAATTGAAACATTTTTCTCGTGAGTCACTGCTGATAATAATCAGGCCGAAATGTAAATGTGGCATACTTCACACAAAGTAAACCGTTAATTGCCCCTGACCCTGACCCTCCCCTCCCTCCCCTATGAGTCGGGGCAGGAATGTGGGGCTGAGGATGGAGGGTGCGATGCGGTGTGGGGAGGGAAGGAGGGACGGCGGTCGTTGGTTTAGCAGAGAGAGACAGTGGGACCGGAGTTACAGCTTTTCATTAACCTGGAAACCACCTAGTTACATGGTTCATGGGCTGGTCTCAGCTCACTTGGAGGTAACAAAGGGTGTCGGGCGGCACTTTCTGCAGGGGGCTGTGCGCTCGGGGCACCCCATCTGACTCTGATCAGGTTCTCCCTCTCATTAGAGAGCTGCACTGAGCCTGCATTTCCCTTCATGTCGAGATCCTGTTACATGGAGCTCCACCCTTATACACATGCACGCGCAGACACACTCGCGCTCATCTTAGAGCAGCTTCACATCAGCCCTTTGACTTCCGCTCAACGAGTGAAACCACGCCTTCCTCATGTTTGTGTCTCCCTGAGCGACTTCTCCTGTCATCATGAACTCGCTGCAGCTTCATCGCAGTGCACATGATCTCGTGTTTTCCCCAAAAATGGATTTTGTGCAGAAACTCCGGACTGAGCCACTCCTTCTCTGCACACACACACTTTCTTTATTTTTCACGCTTCCCCATTCAGGTTCCTCCTTTTCACTCGCCCCTCGTCTTTCCACTCACTCTCTCTCTCAGATATCCACTTTTCCCAGACGCTTATTGTTTAACTCCCCCCACTGAAAATTAACTATTTATGCTGTTTAAAATACTTTTCAGCAACCATCTCAGTTTGGCTGATTTCAAGTCGGATAATAGTTTAGCTAATAAAAAACATATCATATAACAAAGTCATCAACATCATGTTGAGTGCATTGTTTAAACTTCCCTCTTTCCTTCTGAAGTTGTAGTTTGATTGGTTGTGTAATGGTTTGTTTTAAATCCCTGTTCATGTTTTTTAGATTTGTATTGAATTATACAATTCTGTGAATTGTCATGTATGACATGTCGGTCAGAGTCACTGCAAACCACTAAGCCTGCCACTAGCCTGGTACAAGCCTGATTAGAAAAACCTGGTACTGGCGCTTGCTCATGCAGTATCCATGGCAACACTACCTCCATTTGGTCCCAGCACGCATGAAAGTGTGGTTCACCTGGGGGGCTTGAAAGTGATCTTTGATGAGGGCTTTGACAGATGACGTCCAGTCTTTTTGGGGAACGTGTGACAGCACTGAGGATGCCCCAAAGGCCCCCCTCCCTCCAACCTCCCACCTCTGTTTGCCCCCAGCTGCTTGGTGAACCCCAGTGCACTTATGGAGGAATCCCTGACACAACCCTCAAACAGCAGGGCACAAAGCAGCAGCAGCAGCAGCAGCCTGATAGCTGATCTTGCCTTGTAAAGGAGCAGGCGGGTCAGCGGTCGTCAAGCCGGGTCCTAATTCCTCCGGCGCTGTGAGGCTGCAGGCCAGGACTTTACTCACTGTGTAAAGCTAAAAACACAAGCGGCGTGTGTGCAGGATGAACCCAGCTCAGCCTGAGCATCGCTTCAGTGCAAGAGCATGAGCGTGTCTGGTGCCAAAGGTAGAGAGCATGTCATGAGTGCAGCAGAGCAGCATATTTGGCAGGATGAAAAAGCATGCCTTGGCATTCCAGTCATACTCTTCTGTCACTCTTCTTCTCACCCCAATTATTTGTCAAATAAATATAAAATGTAAAAGTGGGGATATGCAAGATGAAACCGATAGATGAATAGACTTGTCTACCTGCCCAAGTATGCCTACTTCAATTCATACTGATTGATTCTTCACATAGTGATTTAGGCTGCAACTCAGGAAGCATTGTGCCCTCTGTGCAGCTAGACACACTGTAATGGTGTGTGTGAATTAAGTACGTCTTACAATCGTGCTGAAATCTATATCCTATCACACTCTTGCAATTTAATCGTCCTTTTTTGTTTACTTTGGCAATTTGTATTTCTTGAATTAAGTGAATTTTGGGAACTAAATGTCGGGGCAGTGGTCCCCTTACTATATGATGCAATGACTATTGTAACTTCTGTTCAACTTTTAATGTCAAGTATATAATGATAGCATTATGAATAAAACTTTAAAACATGACCCATTACTTTTAATGTTGTGACAGATGTTGCTGCATATGATGTAACTACGGTCACGAACGGA